TCGTCCTCATCATAAAGGTAGTTTCTCCCCACCCATCCCAAGCACTGTAGCACCTTATCATCACTTGTCATATCTCTTTCTCAGACATGTGTTTTCCTTCCAGAGCTTCCAGCTGACATATTTTGAGAGCCAGCCTCCTCTTTGCCCTCCTCCCCCCTAGTACTGCCATGCTCTGCTTCAACAGGAACATGTGCAATGCAGAAGAAAACTAGCTTTAAACATCTCTATGCAGCAGGTGGAAAGGCAAACGCAGGCTGCAGGGCAGCAGGATGAACTGGCAATGCAGCATTTGCAACAGGACAGTGCACTGTAGGGCTGCACTTCAATCCATCAGAAATCTCTGAGACCAAGGACATAGTCTTCTGCACAGATGCACATTTATCACATTGCTTTGCTCCCTCTCTTCTCCCCCCTCCTCATTCATAGACAAAATACAAACCCAAACTCTTTTCCCTGATGTTCTGCCAGACAAATAGGTGACTCAGAGCATCACAGGTCTGATTCCTCTACTGCTCTCACTGATTTTTGCTTAGAGGCTCTGCAATAATCTTGTCTCAAGCCACCTCATTCAGGCAGCCCATTCACAGGCTATTATATAGAGGAGACAGTATCAGCTGGCCACCTACAAACGAATGAACAAAGAAGTAAATAATAATTCGTGGAATGTTGGCATCTGCATTGTTTAATGCCTTTTGTTTTGGTACTCTCATCTGCCCCGGCACACACAGCCCCCTTGACTTCTCAGAAACCATGGCTTCACTAGCAAAGCAGAACACAGCGACAGAATGAACCTACCTTTACGGAAACTAAAACACCGTTTAATTCTCCTATAAGTAGTTTTAGGAATGAAAGGAGCTGCTGCTAAGGCACCTGGGCTGCGGACTCCAGCATTTCTGTCTTCAGGCATCATACAGGCCAGAGCCCCCACGTTCCTCCAAAGCTTTCCTTTACCAGCTGCATCCAGACGGAACACTACGACTGCTCATCGTCACTGGCTGCTGAGGAGTTTTTATAATAGCGTATTTTCCTCTGGAGCTAGGAGATTTGCAGTCTTCTAGATCTTGGGTAGTGATTTTTAACGTTCTCCTCCCTGCTTCAGTTTTACTTTGGGGAGCAATTTCCTTCCGTCTAGTTCCTTTTGCTTCTTTTATTTCATGCAGCAAGACAACTGTCTATTATGTAATGTCACAACAAAAGAGTTTCAGCAAAAAGATATATCTTCCATTCAAACAGAAGTGCCTGCACAGAGGGGGAGAAAGATCTCTTCCTCCCAGCTGGAACAGGGGGTTGAGTGGCGGAGACTCCAATTCTACCGGAAAAGGTCAGTGCTTCGCGGTGCGCAAGGGGAAAGAGAAGAACAATACTAAAAAGGCCGCTGAAGAATCCTCCAGGATACGACACTCCTTGCTGGCTCCCTTTATCTCTGCAACTGTGAAGCAAAAACAACAGCCCCTTCACCTAAGAGGCTCTCTGTCCATAATAGATTCCTTTCAAAAGGCTTTTTATAGACTCAGCACCCTGATGTTCTCATGGGCTTCCCGCTTGTTTTATTGCCTTCAAACTGCCAGAAGCTCTCACGGGAGAGGCGCGTCAGATGCGGCAGCAGCGCATCTTTGCCGGCAGGATCCTGGGGAGCTGCTGAGGAGTACGTGCCTGCACACGGGGATGCTCAGCTTGCCTGGTCCCTCCCAGTCCCACGCCTGGCAATGGCAGCCACGGCTGCTGCTGCGGCCGCCCGCGCCAGCCCCCTGCGTGCAGCAGGTGCAGGGGAAGGATGAGGAGAAGGGAGCCGTGGCCACGCAGATCTGGCTGCTCCTCCGGGTGACTTTGAGTTGACTTCAGGCGGCTGTCGCGTGCGGCAGCCTGAAAAGCAAGCAGGCTGTGCCTGGCTCCCGCAGGAGGTGCCAGACCTTATGCTGCTAACCCTGCGAAAATGCTCATGCTCCTTCTTCTTGCCTCCTCCCTCCCCCTCAGTTGCAAGCTCTGCAATTAATGCTCAGGCCTTTCCCTCCTGTAAAAAATTGCCTTTTTAATCTAATCAGGAAAGGAATTTCATGTGCAAACAGGCATTACGTGCCCTGGTTCATTTACATTTCTTTTCCCTTTCGGATTTTTTTCCACAGTCACCTTATTCTTTTGGTGCAAAACCCAAGCTGTTTCTGATCACCTTAGCAGATTCCCACTTGCCCCTCTCCCACCTTCTCGTTCTAGCACAGGTTAACAAATAACAATTTAATGATACGGTTAATCATTTACAGAGCTCCTTGCTCTGGTACCAGGAGTCCTTTCCCACTGCCAGACAAACTTTAAATATTAGTGGCTCACCAAGGCTCAGACACATCCGTTGCATTTGTGTACACACACACGGAGCTTACTTACAATGCTTAAAAAAACCCAGAAAATTCAAATATGTTACTCAAAGTGGCACTTGACTTGTATGACACTAGACTTTTGTGGTTTACCATCTAGTGCTGACATTTAGGAAGCTGGTGTTTTGATTCATTAGCTGTCTGAAATAATTTGGTGCTACAAGTAATTACTTGTTACTGGCTAGTCATCATCATGTGACTACAACTTTTCTGTATCTTCTTTACAGCTAATGTAATAGATAAAAAGATCTTTAGCTTCAGTGGCTACAGCTCAAAGGCAGACTCTTAGACAAGTTAAGCCAGAAGTGTCCTTCTTTAGAAGGGTCAGACTGTTGCAGCAGTTGTAGCAGCATCCATTTAGCAAGGGATAATAAAAATATGAGTGTGTTTGGCCATAGGTAATTACAGAACAGTTAGTAGAGCTTATTAAGACTTGTTAAGATAGCTCACACTATCAACTGAAGTCAACAGTTACATAATAAAATGGGGGACATGCTAGAAACACAGTTCTTAATTGTGACACATCCCACGACACTGCTTTTGCCTTGTTATCACGGTCAAACCTTCTCCGTGGACACTAAATCCAAAATCATGTTCCATCTATTCTCATGTTTTCCAGGGAGTTAACTGTTTGCTCCCCAGTAAAAATAATCCTGAGTCAATATATTTGTTCAAGGAATCAAGAACGTCTTCCGCGAGGTTCTTCCCTCAGTAATTGGCATTAAACACTCCTACAACAATGACGGTGTCCTGAGAATTTTCGTGGTGGCTGGAAGGATTCCCAGCTGTAAGCCAGAAATAGATCTTGCCCTATAAAATCAAATGAGGGGCCGCTGAAGAAAGCACAGGGTCAGGACGCAGGAGATTTGGTTTCTATTTGTAGGTCTGTGCATGGACTTGGGCTAGAAATGGCGTTTCACCTTATCTCAGCTCCCTGCCTGTAAAATGTAGACACTCCTCCAGTTGCAGAAGAACTGCAAGGTTGCCTTTCCTCATTATTTGCCACAGAAAGATACTGTGGTGCTGGAAGCCAAGTGCAAAAAACCACAAAGATACTTTTCGAAAAATCCCGTTATGACCCCCAATTTATTATTGCCACAGTAGCTTATACTGCTACTAGACTGGAGTAGGGGAACACTGAGGAGCTCAACACGAGGCCTGCTTTACAAAGACAAAGTTGGGGGTGGGTAATCTTCATGCTATGATGAACAAGCGGATTTCTTACCTAGCCTTATTGCTGAAGACTGTGCTCCTCCCACCTCCCCTCTCCCAAAACAACTCAATATGCCTGCAGAAGATCACAACTTTGAAGACAAACCTTTCATTGTGTGGGTTTGGGGGTTCATTTCTTTGTTTTGTTTTTTAAGCATCCTCTTATAAGACCTACATGCCCAGATCCAGGACTGTGACAGCTTATTAACGTATAGGGCCAGATCCCAGAGAGATGACTGCTTAGCATCAACTTTCCAGGACACATTTGCCCAGGGGGAGCCAAAAAGAAGACAACCATGTCTGAAGGGGTACCAGGCAGGCACTAGCTGACCAAGTCCCTCAGCGCAGCCCACTAGTGAGGCCGAAACCTTCTCTCAAGAACTGTGAAACCCGACTAAAGCACAAAGGAAGATGGGTGGCTTACAGTAAGTTCTGTTTAAAATGGTAGTTTCCTTCAGCCACTCCCATCCTCTCTCCTGTGGTCTACCTGGCAGTTGAGAAAAAGACATCCGAAGTCAGCAATCACAGTTTTCAGTGATAACTGTGCTTCTCAGTCATGAAACAGCACAGACAATCCTGCCCGACTTACTTTACCAGCAACCTGCAGACAAGACCAAAAAGTATCTGATGCAATACGGATGCTCCTTCACAGTGGAAAAATATTTCTGACCCCAAACTTGGAGATTTGAGAGCTCCAAGGAACAGACTGATTACCACAAAGACATTTTGTGCAAGTGTATCAATCATACTTGTATTATAATAATATAGACATTATCACCAGAATAATAATGATGAAAAGTATGATAATAATTTGCAGACCATTCAACATAAGGGAGCTTTTAAAAAAGACAACTAGACATTCAACAATAAATTTTGATCCAGTACTACTGAAATTATTGGGTATGCCAATCAAAAGAAAAAGAATCTACCCTATACTGCTAGTGCTAATATTCTGAGGTTTATATTGCAGTGCATAGCTTTATATACTACTATCACTGGTCTTAGTTGTCACTTGCAGGAGAATCACTGACAGTTTCTTGTAACAAGCGTTTATGAAACACATGGACGGTCTTTTAGCTGGTGATGAAAGGAATCACCCTGCTTCTCCCTGTGGGAAAACTGATTTCACAGAAGACCAACCTTCTGTGAAAACTTCCCCTCACCTTGGTAACGCGCTATCATGTGCCATCCTCCTCAAGGGAAGCAGTTCCAGACAGTTTAAAGCCTTTTGAGTCCTCTGCACGGGAACATGCCTGATAACCACATCGCATGTGAAAACAGAGGGTTTAGTCCACTTGTTTTGAAAGATCTAGACCATTTTCTCCTCCTCTTCAAAACTCTGGCTGTGACTGAGAGACGACAGAACCCTTATGTGCTTCTGTGTACCTGGGAGCCTTGAATGTTCCTTCACTGACTCACCTCCTCCAAATGGCGCCCATATAACCCTGCGAATGGATTTCACCCAATCCTCCATGTCATTCTGTGTGCTCGCCATAAGAAGGTACGTCTCATGATTAGCTGTCATCCGCTCTCGGTCTCCTCCTGCAAGAGAAGATAATTGCACTTAGAAACCCTTTTGCTTCCCGGCCAAGTTCCTGCCAGACCGACTGCTGAAAGCAGTAATAGCGGCTCCATAGCAAGCAGACACAGATACTATGCAGTGGAGTGTTTATCGTCAGACACGGCATGAAAAGAAGGTCCTGTAAGTGCATTCCCCATCAGACAGCTAGAAGCTGTCACACTTCCAAAAGGAAATGAGAGGATAAATGTCATTGGTAAACAAAAACAGCCCCATGCCATTCCAAGAACCACAGGGGCCTGCACTAATCTGTAACTTGATATACACACTGGCAGTCTTGCAGCAGTTATTGTACCATGACAGAGAGAATAAATGAAGGGAGAGAGAAGTGTGCTTTGAACAAGTTGGGGTGACTCCATTTTTATTTTCAGGAACACAATGTGTCACATTCATAGCAACGACATTTGATATACCCAAGTGTTGCTGTAAATCTCTAAGGAGAAGGCAGCTGACACTAGTAGCTGACATGGTACACCCCGCTGCCTTGGATGGGTCTGATGAGAATTAGATTAAGAGGAGACACAATGCCTTATTATCCTTTATTTAAAGGATGGGGCCAACACTAAGAAGGTTTAAACCAGAAGTTGGCTTGCCACAGCTCCAGGTTCTCACACTTGTAGTACTGCTACACCTTCCATCCTAATGGGCACTATGTTGGTGCAAGAGCACGTGGGGATTCAAACCACCTTTCCAGCACTGCAGAAGGAGCAAACCCTTCCAGAAAGATACAGCCAGGCATTTTGAAGCCCTTTCACTGAGCCAAGGGCATGCATGCATACCTCACACGCAGATGTGATGCACCTAGAAATCCCATGGGTTCTGTGTTCATCTCTTTCCAGCTTCTTCCATCCCTGTTTTTGAATCTAGTCATATCTAAAGTAAATATCTCTGTCTGTTACAGCAGTAATACTGCTCCTGGGAAGTCTTCCAAAGAGTGCCATGCTCAGAGCTGGACACTGGAACAGCTAGGTTCCTAAAGAGAAATTTCTTCTTAAGGGCTAGAAAATCCAACCATGACTTCCTGGCACAACCATTCTAAGTGAACCTGCTCATACAGTCCACACTTTACAGAATTAGGACACACAACTGTAAGAGGGTCTTAAGTGACACTTAGTGAACACAAAAGCCAGATTTTCCCAGACCCAGGCAGATTCTGCTGAAGACTTATTCTTAAGGTTTACATCATTATTCAAAACTTAAATTTGAACTTGGAGGTAAAGAGAGACTCTGGTTTTCTACAGTCAAAATACAGCCACTCGTATCTTATGTTCACCAAAAAGGCATCCAAAAAAGTAATCCAACAATCTGAAGTACAGTACATTTTAGACTAAATCACAGTTCAAACATCTGAAGAACACCACGTTTTTCTACGACACAGTTAAAAGGTAGGAATGAACCTATTTTAAGTGCCAACAGTAGAGAAATATCAGCATGAGCTAAACTGCATTGTACCTTTTTGGAATCTTTTCAGTGACTAGCATTAAGAATTGGTACAAAACATCGGGTTTGCTTCTATGCTATGCTCTGTTATTTTTACCTTACAAGAAGCAGAGGATGAAAGTATGGGCAGTGGGAAGCACTAGCATCCCCAATGGTAGTGTTCCACATCAACCCTGCCCAGCAGAAAGCACCGAGTCAGGTCCTGGAAATTTACTCCCCATCTCTACCTTCCACATAGTCATCTTGACCAGAACGAGGATGAATCCTTCTCATTCAAGCATGAAGAGTAGACATGGTACTGTCTACAGTCTACTTAAACTGGCATATTTTACATCTCTAGAGTTCTCATCCTGAAAAGACCCCAAAATAAAGATACAAACAGAAAGCCTCAGTATACTGTCACAGCTATTAAATATAATAGCAGTAAATATATTATAGAGAGAAAACATGCGATGTAGTTGTGCTCTATTTCTGGCTGATTGGATAAATACATTTTTCAGTTCCTATCATGCTGTACTGTAGCTTTTTTTTTGTTTTGTTTTGTTAATGGACCAGGATCTTTCAAGGTGCCATACAAAAAGAACAAAAAGATGTGTTCACACAAAATACATATCAGATCCAGGAACAAAACAAGAGGTGACCCAATTTTCTTACTAAAGAGACAAGAAGAGAGATGACAGCCATAGTCAAGTGATGGTCCTTCTCTCAGGTGTCTGCCAGATCACTCCATATTCTTTTAATAGCCTGCATATTTAAATTCTGCAGGTTATGTGAGATTTACTCAGTTATCATGTTATGACAAATTGAAGGGTGTTCTCCAGATAAACTGAATTAATCCCAGAAGTCTAAATGGTTCATTTACAGTGTGGATTCCAGAGCAGTACTATAAACTAACTCAGGTAAACACCCACTCAGCTAATACAGAATTAATCTGTGTTTAATTTTGCAGAGCAGGAAAACATAGCGTTTGGTTACATTATCTTTTGGTGTGAGAAAGCGAAGCTTTCCTAACAAAAGCAGCTTCATTACTTTATAACAATTCTGGATCTGTCTACTTTGAAATGTAAGTCCTTTCTTTCATATCACAATATCTGATCTTGCAGGGTTCTTCTACTTGTGCATTAATTTAGTTATTATTCAAGAACTGAAGCCTCACTAAAAGATTCTGGGGGATACAGCAGCACATGTTGAATTTGTGTTGTACTGCAAATGTTAATTTTTAGAAGGACTACATTTTAAACACAAAATTAACGAGACCAGGGGAACAGACAAGCAGAAATTACCATGATTCAGGAAAACACCATCTCAGATAAGTAACATCAGATAAACAGAAGCAGAATTAGAAGGACCTTTCTGGATCTTCAGGAGGTCCGCAGGACACTTCTGAAAGACGCTGTTTAGAATTTCCACTTCACTTTTTTTTTTCCCTTATAATATTATTGTTATGATTATAATGAAGAATGAGTAGATCGCAATCTCCAAAAATCAGACATCTATTCATACCACAGATACTGGCATTGAGTTCATCAACTTGAAAATGGTGCTCAGCATGAAGTACACTAGATGTGAATTCATCCTTATTCCTTTCCTGTGGGCATGCAAATCATAATGTATTTTACCTGTATTGTTGCATAGCTCCAGATTATGCCTTCTCAAATTTCCTTTCCTGCATTTGCAGTCCAAGTATGAGAAATGCCTAATCCTGTGTGCTGTGGCCTGCTTGTGAATAGCCAATTTAAGGGGCTGGAATATGAACTCTGCTTTTTTTTTTTTTTTTTCCTCTTGTTACATTGCAGGTGTCACAGGACCTGGAAGGAGCAGAATCCAATCTACCTGACTAAAGAAGCCAACTCTGGCATATTCAAGATGGAAATCTGTTGTTTACACAACTGATGTGTATATCCTGTTTCTTCCAGCCTCTGCTAACAGCCAAAAGTAATTGGATCTATACTGTTTCTCAGAACTACAATGTAATATCACATGTTTTTATTCCTGCAGTCCTAACCAATTCCTAATCTGTTTTATTTTCTTGGCAGCACCAGAAATTAATTCTTCCTACCATCCATTTGGAGTGGAAACAGTGGAACAGCACAGTACCATGATGAATCTTCCACTCGGAACAGGTCAGATTTCTCCTCCTGCCCACTTTGGCACTAGCAATGACTTACAGATTCCCAAGTGCTCCTTCCTTGCCTTCCTGGGGGCTCAGTAACCAGTAAATACAGACCACTGCTGGGCTTCCCAAGCAGGACAGCTTGTGACCACTCAGCCCCATGCTGGGTGCAGCTTTGTGCACTGAACCAGCACCACTTTGATACAAGCGAGGCGAGGTATTTTAAGAACTCTTGCCAGCAACCGGGGAGGGGGAAATAAAATAAATACAGAGAGGTCGATTCCTACAGGGAACCACTCCACAGGGGAAAAGAAAGGGAACAGCTTGCGCTTGCTCATGCAGCACCACACTGCACACTTGGAAAAGCATGAAGAGGCAGTGACTGAATTTAAGGGTGATCGTTTCCTGAAATAACAGGCTCAACAGCTCTCCTGCTTTTTATCGCCATCAATTAAATGTGAACACGCAGACATTTTGCATTCAGCTGCAGGAGGAAGGTGTGGAGGGGAAGGAGGTCGTGCAAGGTGTTTTTTCTTTGTACTCTCTCCCTGTCTACCCAACACCTTTCTTTTACCTGAATGTACCCAGGCTGAACTCCTAATGAAATACTTACTTGTTCTTTTAAAAGCATCTTGGATTTCTTGCTAACAGTAGTTCCAGCATTCTTGAGAATGGAACGCAAAGGGATTAAATTCATACCAACTGCTTAAAAGAGAATTTTCTCCCAGGAGGAACATCAAAAACTAGGATTAATCTGATTTTTCTGAGCTGAGAATGTCATGGCCAACCTCAAAAGAATATTCACATTCCAACAAGAAAAAAAAAATGGGGGGGCCAATTTTGAAATGAAACAGTTCCCTGCTCCCTTGTGCCTATTTCTTAGCCACTTCTTCTGAAACCTTTGCTCTCATCTTGGGAACTGAAAGGTGGTGAAAGACAGACTGGCATTACAGCAGAAGCCACCATGTTTTCTTTAGAAACATCCTCCTGCTTAGATGCTTCACTTTTGTTTCCTACATTTTTAATTTCTCAGGAAAATGCTAAATAATAAAATTTTAGCCTTCTACCATTTCAGATCAATACACCAAATGCACCTCCTACTCATCACCTCACAAAAAATAAGCCACATAATTATAAAAATATTTAGATGTGTAAATATTTACACATCTGTGTTTTGCATAAATCTTCCAAGTGTAGCTCAATGTAGAAGTAAGTGCCATCCCCCTGTGCAATGAAGAAGGCATGCTCTTCTCCATTCAGGTGTGTAAGGCTATGTAATTTACAGTTCCTGATCAGGACTCCAATTAATATTTCATCACAAGCAAAACACCAATAATTATGTTAGAATTTATGACTCTTCCACTACACTTTATTTTCTTAAATTTTCCCCTCTGCTGGAAATGAACTGCA